CCCCCCCCCCCCCCCTGTGTTCATGCAGGTGCTGCGAGCTATCACGAGGAAGTTCGGGTTCGAGGAGGACTCGTAGCACGGGGTGGATCTCGCCGAGATCGTACGAGATCGTATCTCTCCCCAGGTGACCTAAACCGGCGTGGCGACACCCTGTTGTGACGGAAACCCGCGTCAAAACCACAATACCCACGTTGTTGCTTTTGGTACATGTGTTGCAGTATGCCTTCCCTGTGGCGTCCTTCTTCTGCGATGACGCCGAGAGACCGATGCGGCGTGTCCGCTGCCGTAACGCAGTTGGATTCTTCGCAGCGCGATGGTTCCGATTTGGCGTTCCCGCCGTTACTGACTGGTTAGCCTTCCGTTGCTGTTGCTGTTGCTGCTGCTGCCGTGGACGGTTGATTCTCAGTTCACGGGGGCAGATCTCTCGGCGGTTGCCTCGAACGCCCTGCAGCTGGCACTTCGACGCCGCGTCGCGGAGATTGAGGCTCAGGTAAGAGTGCAGGAGAGAGAGGGACGACTCGTTCCTGCCACCCACAGCAGCTTACCCTTCTTCGCGCAAGGATATCTCGTGTTGGATTGGTCCTGGACCAGGCCTTCCATCGTTACTGCAGCGGCAATTTGACGACGAGTTCGATGGTATTGTCAGCATCCTCAACAACGTCTACCGTGCTGACATGCGCGGAGCACCCGCTGCTGCAGTAAGTTTTTCTTTCTTCGAAACCCCTACGTAGTTACCCTACCTAGGTCCTCTGAGCCACGCTGCGCCATGTACCACGTTGGATCCATTGCACCATGTCCACGAATACGCACAGCACCCACTCAATGAAACGGTTATGCTCGCTGCCGGCCCATTGCTTCGGCTGCAATCTTTGCCTAAGTAGCTCCAAGCACGATACCCGGTAGTTCCGCCTGGTATCATATTCTTGTACCGCTGTCACGCCACGTCCGAGGGCGTTGTGACAACGGACCTTTTGTTCTTGTCCTCGGTAACAGGTTGCGGAGACGAATGCTCGTGAGTTGTACCTGCGCCCGGTCACCCCGCAGCAGCTCTTGGCGCGCCTTTCCGAAGACGAGCTGGCCGTTAAGGTCTCCAGGGAGGACCTCGAGGCGAGCACTGTTGCTGTTGTTGTTGTTGTAGTTGTAGTTGTTGTAGTTGTTGTTGTTGTTGTTGTTGTTGTTGTTGTCGTCGTCGTCGTCGCGTTTTCAACCAGGAACGCCGTCATCTCTATCCAACACATTCGGCCTCTGCACCGCACCAATCCACCCGGGGAACAACAAATTTTGGTGGCCTCGTAGCGATACATGGGTGTGTCTCACGACCCTATCTGGCGTCTGGTTCTCCCGAGTAGTTGGCAATCGATAGAACATTGTTGTAGCGCAACAATCTGCCTCTTTTGGCCATGGTGCGCAACGTTCGCGATTTATTGTGCGTTTTTCGACCAGTAAATACACCGGTTCTACAACGAGGGGCCTACCGAACGGCACACCTAGCTTCAGCACGTTCGTACATGCTTTCAGCAATGAAGTGCTCGTGTTGATAGGAGACAGTCGTTAGCCATCGAAAAGGGACTGTCCATTCAAACGGGCCGAATGCTTGTAGCACACCAAATAGTAGCAGTACACTTCTCTGGCTTCTGCTAGCTTCTCGTCGAGGTGTAGTTGTTCAAACATGTTGCCAACCATTTTTCTGACGTTTTAAGTCATGTGTTGGACGATGTTCAAAAGTGCACGTCACGCAAAACTTCCACCCACGTTTGGCACGCTTTCTACTCTGCGGACCATCCGTGCGCCGCCATTGAATGTTTTACAACGCGCGCCTGTCCCATCAACCCAAACTATCCGTTGGTTTTTTTTTTTTTTGCCGGGTTTTCACGTGTCATGTAGGCGGCCTGTCTGTCGGTGACGCCGTCGGTATCCGAGGACGAGCTTCGGCACTACGAGCGCATGCGCCTGCAGTTCAGCGGCGATGGCGTTCATGACCCCACCGCGGCAGAAGCAAGGGGGGCGTGGAAACCGGCAGCAAGAATGGCATGAGACCCTGCGCGCACAATGGTCTGAGCTATGCACGTGCGTGGTTGGCCAGCAGGTGTCTCCAACATGTCCACAGGAAGAAGAGTAGAAAAGGCAACCAACGGGTAGTTGTTCTTCAACCACGATCCAGGGCGATGCTTCGTTCGGCGTGTAACCATGGTATCAAACTCGCCGCAGGATGTGTTGGCACGTGCGTGGTTGGCCACATAGCCAGCGGGTGTGAGTTGAAGACATGTCCGCGTGGTGGCTGTCTCAAGCAACATGCCCAGCAACAGTAAGCGGGATGGATATTCATGCTGAGACACCCCACAGCGTTGCGGGGTGTCCGTAGCTTGATTTAAGTAGATCATGGGAACCCGCCTCGACCTGCAATTGGTTGGAGAATGGCGGTCGGTGGGCCCACACAGGTCGCCGGCGGAACTTAAACATGTCTCCTTCTGTCGCGGACCGAAACTGGTGAGTTTCGGGTCAAGGGGTATGGACACAACGTGAGCGAGGTCGAGAATGACGGACCCAGGAATCGTTTTGCTGGCACCATGTGTGTGTTCAGTGTTACAGCCTCGGGCGTCCCTTCCAGCGTGGTCTTGATTGATTGAGGGTTTGGCTGGCAAACAATGTGCTTCATTGCCACAGCTTCGGAATGTCTCCGTCTTTCCCAAAAAACAGTAAGGGGTCCCACCCCGACCAGCATATCAAACTCCGTGTCCACCACAGGACACGCACTCACGTACGTCGTTGGCTATTTGGCACAGCGGGTGGACACTGAAAACATGGCCGTGGTGTAGCCGTCTCAGCAAATTTGTCTACAGCACGTCAGTACGGCAGTACGAAGGATGAGGGCACAGAGACCGAGATCGACGTGCCAACAGCAGGTCATCGAACATGATTATGGCAAAATAGCACTGTCCTTTTGTGGTGTTGGTATTTCCGCCTGTGCCATTGACGGGTGTGGTGCGAAAGAGCGGGTTGGATGGCGGATGCGAACGTTCTTACCCGCCGGATCCGTCCGTCAACCCTTCCTCTCCTGCTGCTGTCGGCATGTTGCTTGAGACCACAACCGCACCGAATGCCTTCAGGTCACACTCGCTGGCCAGGCGACCACATACGTACGATAGTGCATGGACAGGCCTGTGGTATGAAAGATCGCCCTGGACCGCTGATCATGGATCGTGCCCGCCTTCCCTTGGGTCATGTCTTCAACTTTCACCCGCTGTCCAAATGGCCAACCACGTATGCATACTTGAATCCGTGGCCTGCTCTGAGGGGGATGTGCAGGGTATGATGTCGTGACGGTGGGGGTGGCTTGGATCCCCCCGTGGGGTTTGAAGAAACGAGAGACATGCAGCAGTACATACTCCTATTCGCGTTCTCCAAGGTAGGCTCCGCCGCTCATATATATCCATTCCTTTGCGCATATGCATACGTAAAAAGATGGGTAACGTCTTACAGCATTACAACGTCAACTCAACCATTTTTTTTTTTTCACCCAAATTGTCGACGGCTATCAGTAGACCAACGAAAGTTCTGCACCCTGCTCAGAAATTTCCTTGGCGGCTGCTGGACGGTTGGTTCCGCGAACCCGGTTCCGCCGGTTCCGCCGGTCCCGCCGCGCGCCCGTTCCACCGCTCGTTGCGCCCGTGTACACTGAGATGCTTGGGGCATCATCTACAGCAGTAGCGACACAGGCCCTGGCCGAGAAAAAATGAAAACTTTGCACAAACTAACCCTCTGGAGTCGGCGCAGCTCCAAAAGCTCGAAGTCGAAGATTCCACCATCAGTGGAACCAGCGCAGGCCGACGAGACACCAGTGCAAGTGGCACACAACACCATCTTGTTCGTAGATGGGCGTGAGGGAAGCAATAACTTCTCAAGGTTCGGGCAGACCCTTGCCTATCGCAATCAAGAGGAGGAGGAGGAGAAGACAACGGTTGATTCATCCCACCGCGCCTACGGAGCCAAGGAGTTCGTATCTGACGAGGAATGCCGGGGTGAAGAATGCCCCAACGTTCGGCTACTGAGAAAGCAAGAGTTGTTGCGCAAGAGCGATCAAGAGGAGATACAGAAACTTCGAGCCACTTTGCTGCAGCAAAAATATGACCTCCAGAGAAATGAGAAGATGGCCTTGGCCCGGTTGAAGGCGGTTGAGGATGAAAAGGCTGCCTTGGAGGTGGCCTTAGGAGCTGAGAGAGCGAATACGGCGATGCAACAGATAACCATGAACAACATGAAGAATACTCTTCGGGAGAAAACTATCGAAGCTCAGTTGTTGGAGTCCGAGCTGGGAGAACAGGTGGAGATGTTGAAGAAAGAAAAGAGCAAAGCAGCAGAGAACGGGCAGCGTCAAACTAAACAGGAGAAGATCAGGAGCGGGTTGGCACGGCTCGTCGAGAAGGATTTGCGGACGCAGGTGGCCACGCTAGAGCAGTCGATCAAAGAATTGAGTCAAGCAGCAGAGGACGGGCAGCGTCAAACCAAAGAGGAGAAGGTCAGGAACGGGCTCACACGTCTCGTCGAGAAGGATTTGCGGAAGCAGGTGGCCTCGCTACAGCAGTCACGCAGGCAACAAGCGGACGAAATTCGGAATCTCTTGGCTCAGGTTCAGGTGAAACTAGACATGTTGCACATCATACGAATTCGTAATCAGCGAATGAGAGATTCCCGTATCGAACCCTGGGGCTGGGTCACGAATAGTCTACAAAATAGAAACACAAAGCACGGGAGACTATAGTCATATACCCGTTCGAGATGCAATCCAATCGTTGGGTGTGTTGCAGTCATACTCTTTACAACGGGGTCAGAAGCAACTCCGGGATACTTGGCGTATTTGAGTAGCCTATGCACCGAAGGAATACCCAGTGATGCCAGCCGGCACAATGTGAATCAGCAACCTGAGTACCATGTACTGCGTCTCCAACAAGGGCAAATTGGCGGGTCTTGCTCAATATCCCCGAACTAATGTAGCTCCATATTATCTCTGTGGCGGCATCAACAAGACTCATGATGCTGTAGTGTGGAGGTTCATACGGTAGTCAGTTTCATAGATCGTGTGTTTCTTTTTTTCGCAACGGGTACGCATATGCCCGACCGAATAGACTACTTCGGTACGCGGCGTAGGCCAGCCACCTGCGGGAGGAAATTTCGAAACGGGATATTGAGACACCGATTTTGTACAGGCCATTCGGCGAGCGCTTGTAACTGTCGGACATTCGTGTTCCGTCAACGCTGACACAGCACAACGGTGTTACCCGATGAAGAGCTTGGGTATGGGCAAATGTGGGCACCGCAAACAACGTATCCAAGCGCACACATACCGTCTACCATTTCTGTAGTTTTCGTGAGCATTTATAAAAGACAGCGCTCGAGGGTATAATCTCTACGCCTTTCATTGACGTTTCTGCACCCGAGAAAACGTCCATGCTTACAGGTGGGTGCCGTATCGTAGTTGTGGGTTTACATGTGGTTTCGTCGCAGAACAACCACAATAGGCTTTGCGAAGTGGTGGGATCGCCAAGTACATAGCGCAAACACGTTAAAGGTACATTTCTTGCCACTTGGCCACAGACGGGCGACAAGCGGGCCAGACGCTGCTGCCCCAGAAAGTTCATCGGGGTGTTAGCGAGAAATTTCCGAAGACAAGCTTGGGGGTCGAGCGTTGTCGGCCAGGAAGAAGAGCCACTAACCATTGGCGTAAGAAGGGTTGATCGAAAAAAGCACACGTAGCATGAAGAGCGCTGCCTCCCCTCTTTTATGAGACGTGGTACATACATCCTCCGAAGTTGTTCTGTGTCGATTGCTCATATTGTCAGGATCTGCAGCGGAGCGAGGAACGGCACATTGACAGTGTTGTCACTTTCGGAAGAACCCAGGGCTTCAATGCCACGGCTAGTGCCCTGGGTGACGGCCATCCAGACTGTCCGCGGCTGCACGCCGACTTCTACCCCTTTTGGGAGGCGCCCGTTGAGGTTGCAATAGTGGGAATCTTCAGGATCACGGTGTGTACCTCCCTGGATGAAAACATGTGACAAAAATGTTCGATGAGCTCGTCTGTGTGTTGCTTGAGCAAATCGTGCTGTGGCGGTGCACACTCTGCGTCCTTGCTCCCGTCATCAAAGCGGCTTGCAGAAACTTCACCAGCTTGCGACCAGACACAAATACCGTTCGGAGGTTGTCGTCATCAACGTCGAAGGGCGTCAAGTCGTAGGGCCGCCCCCATGACGCACAGTTCTGATGGTGCATCCTCCTAACCGTAGTTGTTTATTAGGCGGCAACAGCCCAGTATGTGGTTGGAGGTTGAATACCAGCAAAATCGGGGTGTGATCATCAGTGACGCGGCGTAATGGCCTTCGGGAGGCGATGAAAGTGTAGGTCAGCGCGTTTTGCAGCAGACCGATTCCCACAACATACTTGTGCGTTCGGCCAACGCCGGGATGCTGACGAAAACAAAATGTCGCCGCTTGGTTCCTCCATCCTCCAAGGTCCCCGCAGGCGTTCGTGACAAGCACCTCAGCTACGTACGGAGCCACGGGAATGTTGTCCAGCGCTTCCACGGAACCTCGTGCAGGAGCGCATGCAACTTTATTCTCGACCCGAAGGTGGGGTGGCCTGGCGACTGACTGTTTACCGGAGCTCCAGTCCTCGCATTCTCTTAATCGCGATTGAGACTGTTCGTAGTTCCTCGTCATATTGGTTGTCCAAATCGACTGAACCACGCATCACGTCCAACGTGTTGATGGCTGCAGCCACGGGTCTGCATCATAAATAGCAATATCAGGCTTCCCATTGAAAGGCCTTGCCAATGCTGTTCCCTACCCTACCAGATCATTGTGAATCGATCCCACACCCAAAGCGGATCCAAGCATGTGGAGATACCCACATGATTCCACATGCAATCACCGATTGCAGCTTTGTGACGGACGTGCTGTTCACCCAACCTCTCCAATACATAGGGTTGGGTACTGGCGCTGCGCGCCAGTAAAAAGTATACTGGCTGCGTCAGCAGCCAGTAAACTGGATCCGATCAGTACACTGGTGGCGCGGCGAAGCCGCGCGGTCGCGGCGCAGCCGCGACCATCGGCCCCCCCCGGCTGGTGAGGGGGCCCCGCCGGAGGCGCTTTTGTACGCGATTTGGCTTCACTAGAGCAAAAAAAATGAGTGATTTTGGCCCATCTGACAGAGGCACTATCGCGGGGAAAACGATAGAAAGTTCGAGTTCAACGACTGAATTTGTTGGTTTTGGACATGAGGAAATATTGAAACATTATAATATTACTCCCAAGCAACCAAGTGGCATCCATCAGTTGGGTTGATGAGCGACGCTATCGTATACTGGACTCTACGAAGGACACAACGACACGGCAGCCCTGAACGTATACCAAGAAACCAGCTAAGAGCTAAAAAGTAAAAAGCTAACCAGGAAACGGGAAACGACAGGAGGTGCGCAACAAAAGAAGCACCAGCTTGCTAGAATGCAGAATGCTACAGATACGAACAGCACCAAAGCTACCCAACCGAAACCTACACTGCGCACAAATTACTGCCGCTAGCACACAAAATCCTCCCCATCAAAGACAGTCACTACCCTAGCCCCTCTTCGCGGCCGCGGGGGTGTTCGATTGCTCCCATTCCTCGACTATATTATTGAGCCCGGTAATTATTAAATATTAATGTACGAAGTAGTAGTTTTGTTCTTTTTAAACCTACAGATTTAAATAATTATACGAGGTATTTTAATTTATTACTACGCTCGTTATTACTTCGTAAATTATTTTGTTTCGAGTAATATGCAATTCTAATATACTATTTAGAATTGTCTCTCAGAGGAGGTCTGAGTATATGGGTTTCCGCTGGTTCATGAGGCGTAATACAGAGGAAATCTGCGAATATAAGAATGTACTGGAGTACTGGCTGCTGACGCAGCCAGTGCATATGCACTGCCAGTGCATATGCACTGGCAGTACGTACTGGTTCAGTACCCAACTCTACCAATACATATTGTAAACGTCGCGTGGAGGTATTTGCCCGCTAATGCAACCGTACATGCCCACGTAGAGCGCTTCCCGCTGCTGTTTCGCCGTCCAACCAGAAAGCTGCACCGTGCGGGCTGCAGGATTGCAACGTATGCAACATTTGCTTGCAAGGCTTCAAGATCGGGAAAAGCTCGACACGGTACGGACAGGGAGTCTACTTCAGCAAACAAGCTACCAAGGCCAACTCCTACGCTGGAGGAAGTGAGAAGCAGGTGCTCACGTACGGTACACCAATACTGTTATGTAGGACGGCCGTTTCCTCTTGGTTTGTGGGGCATCTCGAAGACGCGCGCGGTTGGCAACAAGCGTAGCCACTACATGAGGCAGACCTTGAGTACAGCTTGGAGTACCCTAAACACCAAAGTTAGACCCCCCTCCCCCCCCCGGAGATGCTTGAACTATCAGTTTGCACTTTTGCATTTTTGCTGTTCACGTATTCAGTTTCTAACGTGTACCTCCACGTGATCCTGCTTGCTTTGATCGAAAAGGAGAACGGGAAAAAGTTACGATGCATCTTTGTGGCCGACGTGGCGAAGGGGAGATACTTCGTCACCAAGAAGACCGGGTTTGATGGTGCCAGATACCCACCGGAAGGCCACGATTCCGTCCAGGGTGAGGTGAGGAGAACTAATGTGCAGTGTTTCTGTTTTTGTTTTGTTGCTGTTGTCGTCGTCGTCGTCGTCTTCTCATCAAACGCTGAGCTGACGACCTCGGTCCGACACGTCCTGTTTCGTGCAGTTCAAGCTACCCCCAAAGAGGTGCAGAGCAATCAACGTGGACAGGGGCAGGGCTGATCCCATCATTTACCGAGAACTCGCCAAGTTTCACAACAAATCCAAATATCAGACCCAAATATAGAAAGTGGCAGAACAACATCTGCACAACGAGGCATGCCGATCGCTTCAATCCTCCCTGAATGGGTATTGGATTTCCGCGGCCAACTACAACTTATCTGTCCTCGTTCTCCCACCCCATCGAAGCCGGGGAGGGTATTATTGGATTGCTGTTCACCGACCGGGGTCTTGGCTCCTGTACCCCTTGCCCGAACCCTAGCGCTTACACAGCAGCGATGTATCACGAAATCCCACCAAAAGGCATCTCCGATAGGCAGAAGTTGGTTATCCTTCTACCACGTCATCTTTGGGGTATGTTCCAATCTTTGGCAATACTCCCACGCGCCCCGACAAGAGCGGGCGAGCTCCAACTCGCCTCTCTTGCGGCGTCTCTGTGCCATTTGTCACTCAGATTGGACGAAAAGGTTGCATTCTTTGGTGTGTTGCGCACAATTTTGGTGGCGGAGGAAGCAACCACATTCGTGTTGGGTCTCCCATAGTTTCTACAGTTTTGCTAAGACACCCATGGGACACCCATGGACAGCCCATGGGCACTCTGTTGCCCATGGTTAGCCCGCGGGCAGCCCATGGGCGGCCAATGAGAGTCCTTCAACCGAACCAATGTACTTCTCACCTAGATTATCTGCTTTGGAACGGGCATATAGCGGCTAATAACCCTAACGCTAGCCCTAACCCTAACCCCAAGCCCACACGATACGTGCTAGGTTGGCGCTGGTGGCTGTGTTCTAGGTTGATGTGCACGTGGCTAAGTTCCAGGTTGATATGAAGTTGGCGAATTTCTAGGTTGAGGAGCCCACGTCATAGGCATGGGCCCATGGGCGGCCCATGGGTGACCCATGAGTGTCCCATGGGCGGGATAGCAAAATCGTCAGTCGTGTGGGAGATTGTAAGTGCCCTTCTCGGTCGTATCTAAAGCACTTCACGTCGCCCACACGAAATATCTCAGCGTCAGTGTACCAATATACGTCGGCTGTTCGACAGAGAATGTGGGCGAAACAACGATTTCGACCAGACGACGACCGAAGTGTTCGAATGAAGGAATAACACACCAAGGAAATATTGTGATGACGGTGCACCTAGAGGTAGGTTCCCTCTTGTTGTCCACCCTGACACGATTCTTTCCACCCTGCAACAATCGTCGACAGGTCGGAAATGGGTTGGACTGCGAGGAGCTGGTTGTGTACCACGAAGAGGCCGCCATACCGACCCATCTAATCGTCTACACCGTCAGGAGGCGGAAGCATCCGCGAAGCGCCAGCGCCAGCGCGCGGAGGAAGCAGAGGTCGCCCCGGGCCCGAAGAGAGAGAATCGGGGAAGCGGCGGGAGGGGGGAAGAAACGGCGACCGGACACTGCTGTAGAAGCGAGTAGGGCGGCCAAGGCCGCGCTTGCGGCGAACGACGTACCCAACTGATTATGTTGTCGCACCCTGTGTTCCCTTTTCCCTGCCGTAAGCTGTATGCTCTTAGTATTGCCTCCGGCCTCTCTTTGTGCTTTTCTTCTTTCTTTCTTTCTTGTTCTCCATGCCCTCTCTACGATGATCTTGGACGATACCTCGAGCTCCTTGTTATTTTTGTTTTTTCCTTTGCTGGCTGCCTGCCACCTCTGCTGCCTCTTTGGTGCGGTGCCTACCCTACACTAATGCGCTGGTGCATACTGCACTGCTGTAGTACCTGGTACTGGTGTACGTTGTCCTTCGATTTTTTATTTTTTTTTTGGGAATATATATGTGTTTGTTTTTCGCCCCCCGTCTTGCTGCACCCCCTGGGGTGTGGTGCAGGGCGGGGGATGCCTGGTCGGCGGGAACCCGGCACGGAACCCTCCGGCGTTGTAGGCGGGTGTGGGAAGCGTTCCCCGTTCTCCTTTTATTTTATTTTGATCGGTCTCCTCGACGCTCTTTCTCGTTTGGTGCGGTAGCTGGTCTTTCTTTCTATCATTTTGTTTCTCTTCCGAGTGGTTTTTGTACCCTATTTTTTTCTGTTTCTTCGTGGGGTCGTGTATGCCGGGTTTTGAGACCACGGGCTCCCAATCTTTCTTTTTTAGAACTAATGTGAGAAACAACAAACAACAACAACAACAACCGTTCCGTAGACAGACCCGGCCACCACAGGGTCACTCAATACGAGACGTCACGCCGGGCGACAGGATTCACCAGAAAATATCAGACAACAATCCGCTTCGGGCTAAGCACGAGGATCGCAGCCTTCATTTCATCGGACTTCACTTCCACCACTTCCACCATCATGGGCATCTGCGACTTGATTGGGCTTTCCTCGCCGTGGCCTCTCCTGAAATACTTCTCGGCGGCTTGACAGTGAGTCTCCAGCCATTTCTCACTGTAGAGGTTGTTGGTTTAAGAGCCTTTTCGGGACAACACTGACCATCGAGTACTTCGAGTGTCCCCTCCCCGCGTTTTGGCGCCAAAAGTACAGTACGTCAAAGTGTACCCCCATATCGAGTGCAACTAATATTTGATTTCCTGGATCGAACCCGAAGCCTCCGATCCCCGCACCACATTGGCAGTGCGTATCGAACAGATAGTCGAAGTGATCGACGCATCGAGGTCCTTCCTGGCATCGTCCTAAGTGTTCTTGAGGTGCAGCGTCTCTCCTCTAGCGCCCATATCTTTGAAGCCCATGAGCTCCAGTGTCTTGAGTATCTTCTCGGAAATATCGCCCTCCGACTGATAATCATGGAAGAACGGGCCCATGAGTTGAAGGGTCAAGTCGATCCGTGTCCTCGCGATAGGCGGGAACGCCTTGTAGAACCCGCGTACTATATGGGCAGCTTGCATTTGTTGAATGCCTCGAAGTCTATTGAATATTCATCTTGCCCTCGAAGAAGCGGTGCACCCTATTCCTCCGCATCTTGGCTGCGTCCGCGAGCGTGATCACCCACTTCTGTTGCTTGTTAACCCGCTTTTCAAAGTGATCCCGTACACGTCTAACGTGCCCAGTAGACGAGTGTGGTCATTCTTCACCTTGGTGCCCTTGGATACATGTAGAAATCATGCAGCAGCACCTTTTCTCCGCTTCATCGTCGATACGATCGTTCGTCGTGGCCGAGATGTAATCTATCCTTTTGCCTGGAAAATCTGAAGGAGATACTGTATCCGGTGAAAGTCGGCAAGGGATCGTTCCACGTTGCTTCAGGCCCACAGATCCGTGAGTAGGGACGAGTAAAACTTACATGGCTTCGTGTCCCACTCCTTCCTTGAACATGGTTCGGTTGAGCCCCGTCGGTCCTCGCTCACCACGCCTGTGATGTACGCACTCGGTCATGATTCGGTTCATTTCTGCGCTGTTCACAGCCGACATGTCAGCGTGCAACGGTCCCAGCGGTGCCTCCATGCCCTTGGGTATCTTCCACGGGAATGTTTAGTATAGTATAGTATGTTTAGTAGAGTATGGAGAACCTGTACTAACGGCTGAGTAGAGTAGAGTTTGAGAGAGGTGAATACTCTACTCACCTGAGTAGAGTGCAGAGGTCAGGTACTGAACTCAAAGAGTATGTTTAGTAGAGTATGGAGAACCTGTACTAACGGCTGAGTAGAGTAGAGTTTGAGAGAGGTGAATACTCTACTCACCTGAGTAGAGTGCAGAGGTCAGGTACTGAACTCAAAGAGTATGTTTAGTAGAGTATGGAGAACCTGTACTAACGGCTGAGTAGAGTAGAGTTTGAGAGAGGTGAATACTCTACTCACCTGAGTAGAGTGCAGAGGTCAGGTACTGAACTCAAAGAGTATGTTTAGTAGAGTATGGAGAACCTGTACTAACGGCTGAGTAGAGTAGAGTTTGAGAGAGGTGAATACTCTACTCACCTGAGTAGAGTGCAGAGGTCAGGTACTGAACTCAAAGAGTATGTTTAGTAGAGTATGGAGAACCTGTACTAACGGCTGAGTAGAGTAGAGTTTGAGAGAGGTGAATACTCTACTCACCTGAGTAGAGTGCAGAGGTCAGGTACTGAACTCAAAGAGTATGTTTAGTAGAGTATGGAGAACCTGTACTAACGGCTGAGTAGAGTAGAGTTTGAGAGAGGTGAATACTCTACTCACCTGAGTAGAGTGCAGAGGTCAGGTACTGAACTCAAAGAGTATGTTTAGTAGAGTATGGAGAACCTGTACTAACGGCTGAGTAGAGTAGAGTTTGAGAGAGGTGAATACTCTACTCACCTGAGTAGAGTGCAGAGGTCAGGTACTGAACTCAAAGAGTATGTTTAGTAGAGTATGGAGAACCTGTACTAACGGCTGAGTAGAGTAGAGTTTGAGAGAGGTGAATACTCTACTCACCTGAGTAGAGTGCAGAGGTCAGGTACTGAACTCAAAGAGTATGTTTAGTAGAGTATGGAGAACCTGTACTAACGGCTGAGTAGAGTAGAGTTTGAGAGAGGTGAATACTCTACTCACCTGAGTAGAGTGCAGAGGTCAGGTACTGAACTCAAAGAGTATGTTTAGTAGAGTATGGAGAACCTGTACTAACGGCTGAGTAGAGTAGAGTTTGAGAGAGGTGAATACTCTACTCACCTGAGTAGAGTGCAGAGGTCAGGTACTGAACTCAAAGAGTATGTTTAGTAGAGTATGGAGAACCTGTACTAACGGCTGAGTAGAGTAGAGTTTGAGAGAGGTGAATACTCTACTCACCTGAGTAGAGTGCAGAGGTCAGGTACTGAACTCAAAGAGTATGTTTAGTAGAGTATGGAGAACCTGTACTAACGGCTGAGTAGAGTAGAGTTTGAGAGAGGTGAATACTCTACTCACCTGAGTAGAGTGCAGAGGTCAGGTACTGAACTCAAAGAGTATGTTTAGTAGAGTATGGAGAACCTGTACTAACGGCTGAGTAGAGTAGAGTTTGAGAGAGGTGAATACTCTACTCACCTGAGTAGAGTGCAGAGGTCAGGTACTGAACTCAAAGAGTATGTTTAGTAGAGTATGGAGAACCTGTACTAACGGCTGAGTAGAGTAGAGTTTGAGAGAGGTGAATACTCTACTCACCTGAGTAGAGTGCAGAGGTCAGGTACTGAACTCAAAGAGTATGTTTAGTAGAGTATGGAGAACCTGTACTAACGGCTGAGTAGAGTAGAGTTTGAGAGAGGTGAATACTCTACTCACCTGAGTAGAGTGCAGAGGTCAGGTACTGAACTCAAAGAGTATGTTTAGTAGAGTATGAAAAGCTGTACTATACCGCATGAGTATGTTGAGTAGAGTATGAAGAGCCATACTAAAATGTGAGTATGAGTAGAGTATGAAAAGCCGTACTATACTCAAAAAATGTTTAGTAGAGTATTGAAGAGCCGTACTTACAAAAGGTTTAGTACGAAGAGCTGTACTAAACGCCACAGTATTCTTAGTAGAGTATGAAAAGCTGTACTTAAGTGTGAGTATTACTCTACTGGGCGAAAAGAGCCAGATACTTACTCAATACTCGGGTCAGTACTAATAGTACATACTATACTAAACATTCCCGTGGTATCTTCACCACGACCCGGCCGCTGGTGATGGTGTGGAAGTAGCTTTTCATCTGATTCATGTCTCGCGGGAAGCATCCCCCCCCTCGAAGGGGGCATGCACACCGTGTCGATGGGCACATCATCTTCGACACTTTACAGCATATGATTGTGCTCGTGAAGGCGATGAGCATGTACTTCGGCCAGTGGGCGTACTCTACGGCTATCATTGATCAGTTCGGAGAGTTGCCGTAGTATATCCCCACCTTTTCCTCCCCAACGATCGCCAGAGCCAGCTTCTCGAGGGTCTTGAGCTCTTGAGCCGATCCGCGGCACATCCCGATCTGTTTGTTTTCTTGTTGAATCTTGCGTGCAATCGCTGCGTCGTCTGTTCACTTCATGTAGAGCTCCTGCCCCCCCCCCCCCCCCCCCCCCCCCCCCNCCCCCCCCCCCCGTGTGATCACGGCAGCATTTTTCGTGTGCTAGTGCGGCTGTGCCTCGCTTGGTACAAGGGGCGGGCGAGGTGGATAGGGAGGTACTGTGTCCCCGCCCCCTGCAGCTGTTTGCCGAGTTCATATGAAGAGAGTCGCTTCGTACTTGGCGTACGTTCCAATCACAGCAGCACGTGCTTGCTGTGTTTGCTGTGTGTTTTTTGTCTCCTCGTTCGTGTGTGTTGATGTGCGGCGTTTCAGGCGATGTTTCGACTAAAATTGACATTCCCTGTTTCGACATGGCAGAGCCGTCCGCCCCAGTGGTCTTCTAGTTACTACAGTATTGGTAATCGAAACCGCTAGTCAAAAAGAAAGGCCGTGAGTTCGAACCCCCCGTCACTCTCCCGAACGCTTGAAGCGCGACATAGCACTTCGTTCAGAGGCTGTCGTCGGCCAGTGTACAGTAATCACTTCATGGCTCCGTTCTGGTGTGGTGCGATTTCGTGTGCTGGGGTTGAGGGAGCGACGCAGACACGGACACGCGTACGCACGCACGCACACTCAACAGCAGCAGCGGCAGTGAGAGCCCCTTGTCACAAGCAAGCTGCGCAGCTAGCTGTAACGCAGCGCACCACGAAAAAACAACAGCACCTGCGGACAGGGGAAGTTTCTGGGAGGACTGTTGACCCACAGCCAATCACACGAAGCCGCATAAAATCTGAAAAATTTCACCTGGATGAAGTTTCCAGGAAACGTTCTTATCTCAAAATCTGCTTCCTTAAACCGGAAAATTTGGAGCACAAGTCCGAAACTGTGGATTGCGGACGAGAGCGAAAAATATCTGAAAAAGCTCTCATGAGTACCAAACTTCGAAACCGGAAAAATTGGAGCACCAGTCCGAAACTGTGTATTGCGGACGAGAGCGAAAAATAGCTGAAAAAGCTCTCGTGAGTACCAAACTCAGACAAACTTCGACGTTTGCACCGTTGACGAGGGAAAGGGACGGCTGGTCGGATCATACCTTCCTCACACGGAATGTACGGGGGATGCATCGTCTGAGATTGCTCCAGCAGTGCTCCAGCAATACACACCACGACCATGTCTTCAACGCACCACCGACCGAGACTGACGTGCCAGCAGCAGGTCCATGCGGATCCTGATGTTCGACCTACACTGGGTGCAGAAAACGCAACGGCTGTGTTGTAGGTATTCCCGCCTGTGTGCCATAAATCGGGTGTGATGGGAAAGAAGGGGTTGGATCGCGGATGATTAGTTTACCCGCCGGATCGTCCGTCCATCCTTCTTCTCCTGCTGCTGTCCACAAGTGTGACATCATCACCACAACCATGCATGCCTTCAGGTCATACTCGCTGGCCAGGCGACCACATGCCCACGATGGTGCATGTACAGCGGCAAGGTGGATACCATGGTTGTGTGTACTTCGAAAGAAATATCGCCCTTGATCCCGGATTAGACAATGGATCGTGCCCCCCTTCCTTGGCCATGTCTTCAACTTTCACCCGCTGGCTAAACGGCCAAGCACGTATGCGCACTTGAATCCGTGGCCTGCTGTGAGGTAGATATACATGTACCGGATATGACGTGGTGGTGGTGTTGTGCTCTTGGTTGTGCTGTGGCGGGGTGGGGGGGCTTGGATCCCCCACCTGGGCTTCGGGGAAACGAGACTGGTAGTCTACAGCAGTCCCTTTTTCGCGTTGTCCAAATAAACTCCCTGGGGTTGGCCGGTGACATGACTCTACCGCTCGAAACATCGATCCCTGTGCGCACATGCATGCGTAAGATGATGGGCATTGTCTTCGTTACAACATGAACTCAACTAAATGGTCGACGGCTACAGTACCAGTAGTCTAGACCCAGCGACAATTCGCGCCCTGCTCAGAAATTTCCTGGGCGGGTGTGACATCATCGGTTCCATGAACCTGGTTCCGCCGGTTCCGCCGATACCGCCGAGCGCCCGTTCCGCCGCTCGTTGCGCCCGTGAACACTGAGATGCTTGGGGCATCATCTACAGCTGTAGCGACACAGGCCCTGGCCGAGAAAAAATGAAAGCTTGGCACAAAGTAACCCACTGGAGTTGGCGCAGCTCCAAAAGCTCGAAGTCGAAGACTCAACCATCAGAGGAACCAGCGCAGGCCGAAGAGACACCAGTGCAAGTGGCACGCAACACCAGGACCTTGCTCGTACATGGGCATGAGAAGGAAAGCAATAACTTCTCAAGGTTCGGGCAGACCCCAGCCTATGGCAATCACGAGGAGGAGAAGACAACTGTTGATCCATCCTACTGCGCCTACGGAGCCAAGGAGTTCGTCTCCGAAGAGGAATGCCGGGGTGAAGAATGCCCCAACGTTCGGCTGCCGAGAAAGAAAGAGTCACTACGCACGGGAGATCAAGAGGAGATACAGAAACTTCGAGCCACCTTACTGCAGCAAAAAGATGACCTCCAGAGGAACGAGAAGATGGCCGTGGCCAAGTTGAAGGCGGTTGAGGATGAAAAGGACGCCTTGGAAGTGGCCTTAGGAGCTGAGAGAGCGAATATGGTGACACAGCAGAAAACCATGTATACTCTTGGGGGGAAAAATGTCGAGGCGCAATCGGTAGATATGGAGCTGCGAAACCAGGTAGAGACGTTGAAGAAAAAAAAGAGCCAAGCAGAGAAGGAACATCGTGCTACCTTGCTGCAGCTGAAAGATGATCTCCAGAGAAACGAGAAGATGGCCGTGGCCAAGTTGAAGGCGGTCGAGGATGAAAAGGACGCCTTGGAGGTGGCCTTAGGAGCTGAGAGAGCGAAAACGGCGATGCAGCAGGACAAAATGAGCCAAGCAGAGAACGAAGTTCGCGNGAGGTGGCCTTGGGAGCTGAGAGAGCGAATACGGCGATGCAGCAGGAGAAAATGAGCCAAGCAGAGGACGAAGTTCGCACCACCTCACTGCAGCTGAAAGATGAACTCCAGAGAAACGAGAAGATGGCCGTGGCCAAGTTGAAGGCGGTTGAGGATGAAAAGGCTGCCTTGGAGGTGGCCTTGGGAGCTGAGAGAGCGAATACGGCGATGCAGCAGGAGAAAATGAGCCAAGACGAGAACGACGAAGTTCGCGCCACCTCGCTGCAGCTGAAAGATGAACTCCAGAGAAACGAGTCTGAACTTTGTGCCACCTTGCTGCAGCTGAAAGATGATCTCGACAGAAATGAGAAGATGGCCGTGGCCCGACTGCAGGCCGTTGAGGATAAAAAGGCTGCCTTGGAGGTGGCCTTAGGGGCTGAGAGAGCTAAAACGGCGATGCAGCAGGAGAAAATGAGCCAAGACGAGAACGACGAAGTTCGCGCCACCTCGCTGCAGCTGAAAGATGATCTCGACAGAAATGAGAAGATGGCCGTGGCCCGACTGCAGGCCGTTGAGGATAAAAAGGCTGCCTTGGAGGTGGCCTTAGGGGCTGAGAGAGCTAAAACGGCGATGCAGCAGGAGAAAATGAGCCAAGACGAGAACGACGAAGTTCGCGCCACCTCGCTGCAGCTGAAAGATGAACTCCAGAGAAACGAGTCTGAACTTTGTGCCTTGCTGTAGCTGAAAGATGATCTCCAGAGAAACGAGAAAATGGCGGTGGCCCGACTGCAGGCCGTTGAGGATAAAAAGGCTGCCTTGGAGGTGGCCTTAGGGGCTGAGAGAGCGAATACGGCGATGCAGCAGGAGAAAATGAGCCAAGCAGAGAACGACGAAGTTCGCGCCGCCTCGCTGCAGCTGAAAGATGAACTCCAGAGAAACGAGTCTGAACTTTGTGCCACCTTGCTGCAGCTGAAAGATGATCTCCAGAGAAATGAGAAGATGGCCGTGGCCCGACTGCAGGCCGTTGAGGATAAAAAGGCTGCCTTGGAGGTGGCCTTAGGAGCTGAGAGAGCGAATACGGCGATGCAGCAGGAGAAAATGAGCCAAGCAGAGAACGACGAAGTTCGCGCCACCTCGCTGCAGCTGAAAGATGAACTCCAGAGAAACGAGTCTGAACTTTGTGCCACCTTGCTGCAGCTGAAAGATGATCTCCAGAGAAACGAGAAGATGGCCGTGGCCCGACTGCAGGCCGTTCAGGATGAAAAGGCTGCCTTGGAGGTGGCCTTAGGAGCTGAGAGAGCGAATACGGCGATGCAGCAGGAGAAAATGAGCCAAGCAGAGAACGACGAAGTTCGCGCCACCTCGCTGCAGCTGAAAGATGAACTCCAGAGAAACGAGTCTGAACTTTGTGCCACCTTGCTGCAGCTGAAAGATGATCTCGAGAGAAACGAGAAGATGGCCGTGGCCAAGTTGAAGGCGGTTGCGGACGAAAAGGACGCCTTGGAGGTGGCCTTAGGAGCTGAGAGAGCGAATACGGCGATGCAGCAGAAAACCATGTACACTCTTCGGGAGGAAAGTATCGAGGCGCAATCGGTTGAGGTGGAGCTGCGAGACCAGGTGGAGATGTTGAAGGAGAAAATGAGCCAAGAAGCAGAGATTGGGCGGCGTCAAGCAAAAGAGGAGAAGATCAGGAGCGGGGTGGCACGACTCATCGAGAAGGATTTGCGGAAGCAGGTGGCCACACTAGAGCAATCACGCATGCAACAAGCGGACGAGATTGGGCGTCTGTTGACTCAGGTGAAACTTGAACCTTCGCATGTAAATCGAATTCATTATCAGCAAACGAGAGATTCCCGCTGCGAACCCTGGGGCTGGATCGTTAGTCTAGTAAATCGACGCAGTCTACAGCACTAGCTCGTAGTACCCGTTCGAGATACAATCCAATCGAAAGGGTGTGTCGGAATCTACTCCTTTCAGCGAGGGATCAGAAACGACTCCTGGATAATTGGCGTATTTGAGAAACCTGTTCACCCAAGGACTAACCAGTGATCCCAGCCGGCAAAAAATCACCAATGTACTCTTGTGTCATGTTCGACAGAAACGTGAATCAGCAACCTCTGAGTACCATGTATTGTAGATGTCGCCAACAAAGGCGAATTGGCGGGTCTCGCTCAAGAACCCCGAATTAATGTAGCTCCATATTCTCTCTGTGGCGGCATCAACAGGACTCATCATGCTGTAGTATGGAGGTTCATGCAGTCGTCAGTGTCATAGGTTGTATGGTTGTTTTTTCCTAACGGGTATGCAAATGCCCGACCGAATATGTAGACAGCTTCGGATACGTGGCGTAGGCCAGTCACCTGCGGGAGGAAAATTCGAAAAGTGAAACTGAGCCACCGACGTGTACAAATCATTCGGTGAGCGCTTGTGACCTTCGGACATTCGTGTTCCGTCAACGCCGACACAGTACTACGTTGTCACCGGATGAGGAGCTTGGGTGTGTATTAGGGAAAATTAAGAAGAGCCACTTATGGCGTTAAAGGGTTGATCGAAAATAGCACATGCAGCATGAAGAGTGCTACCTCCCCCCAACTATCAGACGGCCTTGTAGGTGGCACATACTATAATCTCCGAGGCTTGTGCTGTGTCGATCCCTCAAAATATCAGGTTTTCCAGCAGAACGAGGAACCGCACATTGGTAGTGTTGCCACTTTCGGAAGAGGCAAGGGCTCAAATGCCACGGCTAGCGCCCTGGGTGACGACCATCCAGACTGCCCGCGGCTGCACGCCGACTTCTACCCCGGTTGGGAAGCGCCCGTTGGGGTTGCGATAGTGGGAATCTTCAGGATCACGGTGTG